AAAGAACTAACTCAAGCAATGGAAGAATCACGTCTCCAAGTATCTCACACCCTCCAATCTTGCTTACAATCTGATGGTAGAAGAAGATATGCCACTCCTCCACAACAAATAGCTGCGTTTAATAGACGATCAAACCCAGAAATTCTATCGTCGTGCAATGAGAAATGGTTGGAAACGGACGCAGAAGTCATCGTTGGTGATGATGTAATGCTAATAAATCCTGCAGATGAGTTCAATATACATTTTCCTTACCGCCGTGGGGAGCTCAATATACATTCTGGGCCAGGTGGAAGCTTAACGGGTGTTTTATCTGATTTGAAAACCATTTGGGAGTATGTTTTGGTGAAAAAACTGAATATTCCGTTGAAAGATTTAAAACACTATCGAGCTGTGCTCGTTATTCCAGATATTTATAATAGGCATTATTTGAAGGAGTTGACGACACTAATGTTGTGTGATATTGGATTCGGTGGATGCTTTCTCCTTCAGGATCATGTTGCAGCTACATTCGGAGCAGGTCTTGGTTATGCTTGTGTTGTGGATGTAGGCGATCAAAAGACATCGGTATCCTGCGTAGAAGACGGAATCTCCCACCGAAATACTCGTGTCCGTATGGATTATGGAGGAAGTGACATTACTCAAACCTTTTTTTGGTTGCTGCAAAAATGTGCATTTCCCTATAAAACCTGCGATCCATTAAATAGAATGGATGCATTATTATTAAATCAACTGAAAGAGGACTTTTGCCATGTGGACTTGAACATTTGTGGATCACAAGAAAAGATATTCACTGTTAAAAAGCCGAAAATATCCACGGAAAAATATATCATGCAGGTAGGCGATGAATGTCTCGTAGCACCGCTAAGCCTTTTCCAACCAGAACTGTTCAAAGTCACGGGAATACACAATGTTCACATACAAAAGCGTTATTTGGGTGATCCAGAAGATCCTCATGATGAGAATTATCTTCGTGAAACAAGTAGGAGAGGAGTGAAAGAAAGTCTTGAACAGACCTTGGAGTTGCAAGAAGAGACGGCGGTTGTGGCTACACCAATCGACGAAGAAGTGGTTGTAGATGCAGTTGATGCTGTACCGAATTCCCTTGCTAATCGAGATTTAGAGGCGCCTCGTGATTTTATTGTTGGGCCGCAACAACTTTTAGGTCTTGATCATGCAGTTTTGCAGAGTATCGACCGATGTCTAACTGAAGATTTGAAACGAAAAATGTATAGTTGTATCCTTATCATCGGGTCTGGAATGAAGTTCAAAGGAATTGGAATGTGGCTTCATAATAGGATTTCCCTTCAAATCCCTTATATGTTCAGAGCAGAACAATTAGATATAATAACATACCCTAAAGAAATGGATCCTGGAATCACAACGTGGAAAGGTGCCGCCATATTCAGTTGCCTTGAATCTGCCCAAGAGCTCTGGATTGGACAGCAAGAGTGGCAACGCCATGGCGTACGAGTACTTAGAGAGAGAGCACCATTCATGTGGTAAAATTATTGATAGTCTAATGATACCACTATTTTATAATGATATAAAAGTACGCAGAGAAATTGGTTAGGCAGGGTAATGATTTTTTTTTGTAGATAATCCATTTATTCATCAATAATCTTGTCATATGTTTCATGAGAGTCTAGATGAGATCCATTAGACGCACTTTATGATTATCATTACGATGATATACAGCTATATCTGCGTCTATAAGAAAATGCACGCAATCGACTGATTGTGGATCCACATCGATGTAAACTTCATTACCACCTTTTATATGAGATGACGTTAAGTCCTGAAATGTCATGTAATTTTTTCAATTTAAAAAATGTCTTCGACAAATGTTGCAAGAATTTCAAAAATGTATACAATACTTACCGCAAGTACATTTTGAAAGTTTTCGTTATTCATAGTTGTAGCTGCCACGAGTTTTCCCTGAAATAAGCGACCATTTGTTATGAAATATATACCATCAACGGCTTTTTAAGATATTGTTTTGACTGTTTTTTCACACTACTAATCCATAAGCGAATACGTATGCATTAAATATCATGAGCCCCTGACTACAGATAAAAGTCCAATTCTTGACCCCATCGTCGATAAGAATATTTTATTGCTACCTATCAGTACATGAAAGTTAAATCGATAAAACTGAAGGGACTTCACCCTCAAAATCAAAAAAACATTTGTAAACAATAAATAATTAATCCCACCAGTATACAATCCACCCCTTCATTACAGATTTGAGGTGTGAATTGAAATAGAAATTCTTAAGACTTGGTCTTCAAATCGATTCTATCCTTTCGATGCATCACTATTTTGCTGATTCATAACCCTTACCAAATCCTCCTTTACTTGTGCGAACATTCGGGTAGCCAATGTAATTTCCGTGTCGTATGTAGAATTAGCCCCATCCTCATTAGCTCCAATGCATGCCTCTTTCATCCACTGCAGACAATTTTTTTCATTTTTCAAACTAAAAGAATAGGTTCGGGAATGTGGGGCTTCTAAATCATTATGGATATCAGTGCATGGCATAATACTTACTAATTTATTTCATTTTTGATTGTTCTAACATCCTCTTTAAATGTTGTCTCCAATGATTCCGCTCTCTTTATTTCGTCATAAAGTTCTTGAATCAGTTGTTCGTACAGATCAGAGGTATTATTCATCGGCTCTGCTTTTATATTTAAATCACTGCTGTTCTTTATTAAACTTCGTAAAAAAACACACTGTTTAGACTCAATGGATTCCGGTGTCGTCGAAGATAATAGTATTCCCACATTATTATTTGATGCTACATTCATCAATTGTTCTAATAGACATTGAAGCTCTTTGTGAACTTCCTGTAGATGGTCATACGTGTCCTCCAAAGAGAATTCCCCCAAAATATCGCCTGGGTCTACTTCCTCGGTATCCTAGCCATCAATTCTTGTATTAAAACATATTTCAAATGAATTCCTCTCCATTTAACCCCTTCATTGTTAATAATTTATGAAATTTGATTCACTAGAAAACCAAGCCAGAAACAAGCTTCCAAATTTTATTTACTTGTCAACGTTGCTTTATAATGATTTAAAATAACCTAACCTCTCAAAACTTTCAAATCTGGTTAAGATCTTGTTGATTTACCAAAATTCTGGACGTTCACTGTTTACTCCTGAATAGGAATTGTCAAAAGTCAAAGAAAGCAAAACAAATTTCCTCTGCAGAATACATTCTACGTGTTTTTCAATATTCAATTTTAATTACGTTTATTAGTGTATGAAAAAAATAAGACTTGCATTTGAACATTAAACTTACCATATCTCACAGATGTC